CACTATTGATACTTTATTCACAACAAAATCATAGACAAGTTTCCAACGTCATCAAGTTGAAGATACCATTTCCTGTTTCTTTACGTGATGTGATTTATAAGTATATCCACTTTATTGGTAAAGTTTAACTTTCAAAATGATCCCCTTCAAGAATTATAGTACGTAAAAGATAAACTATACTTTTGAAAGGAATTCATTGGACATCATTACATTCATGTAACCGGCTACACTTATTACAAAAATGAAATACGTATTCTGGCTTCCAAAAATCTTGAATGTAAAAATGAAAATAACAGTTAATTATTGACAGGTGAAAGAAGAAAATATTAAAAACAACAACAAATAGTTTATGCATGTATAAAAGGTCCTATATTTCTCCAGTATTTAAGTATAGTTAAGAAACTATTTCATCATTTGTAACAAATAAAAATACAAAGTAGAGAGTCCATAATTAACGTCCACAAACTATACGGCCCCCCAGTGGCACAGCGGCATGTCTGCGGACTTACAACGCTAGAAACCGGGTTTCGATACTCGTGGTGGGCAGAGCACAGATAGCCCATTGTGTAGCTTTGTGCATAATTACAAAACAAACAAACAAACAAACAAACTATACGACTGTGACTTACCTATTATTAACAATGATACTGTTAAGTGTTCTCGTCCTGTTGCCTTGAGCGCGCCCAGAACTGTTCCAACAATAGCACAACAAAGGCCTACGAATGCTATCATCACAATAAACCAGCGGATGCTGACAGTTTGAGTAACCATCACACCACAACAATGTTTGGGTTCATCACCCTCGGAGGCTGCTGGGGCGGTGCAAGTGGTTCCTATTATTAAGGATCTATTTCGTCCTCGTGGAGGGAAGGGACCAAATCCGCCCCTTCCTCCTCGTACGGATCGTCCCATGGGTAAATGTGGATAGCTTCCAGCCAAAGACCCAGGGGGTGCGTGAACAAGGGGTCCATGAAGTATTGGGGGTGGTGGCGGAGGATGGGTAGGGGGTGGTAAACGTCTAATGGAAGGAGGGGGGAGCGTGGAATAAGGTGGTGGAAGATGAGAGTTAAGTATATCCGGTAAAACATTTGGATTAGGGTTAGTATCGACATAAGTGTATCCATCCACTGGCGGATTGTCCCGCCGACTTCTATGTTGTGTCATATTGTTACCGTTTACCAGTCTTCCGCTGCTTCCTCTTTGATCGATGCCTAGGGTAGGGGCAAACGTTTCATTGCTTTGTTGGCCGTCTATTGTTGGCGTACTTCGAACCATGACTCGTGGAAGTACAGGTAACCTACCTACAGATACAACATTCTTCAGTTGTACACTACTGTTAGGGTTTTATGTGTTTCGGTTTATTTTAGGGGGAAAGAGATATTCCCTGTCTCTGATGTCGGGCGCCACAACTATAATTTCTACAGTTTTTTGTTTTTTCATGCAAGCGACACTAAAACAACTCCTTACCCCTTTTTCAACGACTTTCCAAATGTTAGTGGTGTATTTCTAACCTCTTTAACACCACAAATTATTGGTCTTATTCCTTGAAACTGAACATACATATTGGTGAAGCACCACGGAACAAAACTTCTTTCTTACAGCCACACCTTTTGTGGCCGGACCGGTGCTACCTGTTTGCTCGGCACTCTCGTTCCGGTGCGACTTACTATTTCGAAGAGTACTCCGACTGTTGCATCCAAGATAAGACTAGCTTGAAGCGATGGGACACTCAAGATAGACCTAGAATCAAGAAAGTTCCCGCACTGTTAAGAAAAGGTAGGGTATTACCCTGAGCCAAATTCTCGAGCACTGCTCTGCTGGCGTACGACTGCGACTACACTCGTCTGGGGAGGGTGTAACCTTCCTGAAGCAGCATTGAAGCATGACACTGAAGGGTATTTCTGAACGACACAGTTATCGGTTCGTGGATTTATACGATTTTCTCGGAATGAAAAGTAATTCCTGAAACATATCCCGACCTTCATTTGTTCATTCAAAGTTTCTTCATTACGATAAACTTTCCTACAGACTACTTTTCTGGAACTTCGTTACTAGTTCGTGGATCGGTTAAATGCTCTTCACGAGAAACCACACTTTATACACGACCATGTGCTTACACTCCTGCCCCGCTGCTCGGTGTTGATGTGGTACTTGTTGCACACATTAGCTCCTGATTGGTTAACTCGTTGGATGAGCGAACTTGTCGATAGCGCCATCTCGTGATGAAATTTACATATACGTCATAATAAAGAAAATATTTTCGAACAGACCGTTTGTTGTTCTGTGAGGAGGCTGATACCCAGCCTTAGTTCATGTTTCTTCCATTCAAAATCGCATTTTAAATGCAGAAAACATTTCTTCGCGAAACAACGTAATATTCAGTTTAAAAATTGAGCTCTATCTTTGTAGACTGAATTTTCTATGAACTGTCCTTGCCGGTTTTTTGTTTCTGGCGTGACCAAAGACTCAGTATGGACAGGGCCAGAATGGAGTAACACATACGTCTACACCCCAGGCACATAAAGCCCCCCACCACCAAAATTATAGTAATTTTGAAAAATAAGATTAATAAAAATAAAAACATTAATAATTAAAACGCAATAAATGCATGTTTGTTTTCTATAAGAATATTATTGCAGTCATTATAGCCTTTCCTCCTTCGAGAAATGATTTGATCATAAATAATTCAATTTTATAAATTAATAAAACATCTTAAAGGCAGAAGGTGGGGCCGTACAGCACTAAGGAGGATATATATATTTAATGTTCAATCTATTTGTTTGTTATTAAGCGCTAAGGAACACAATCAGTTATATCTGCTGTGTCCACCACGAGTATCGAAACCAGGTTTTTACCGTTTTAAGCCTTCATACTTCTCGCTGAGCTACTTGGGTGTGTTTATGTGTGTATTTTTTTTAACGCAGACAATGGGGAGGTCCGCTGCCTCACACGCCCTCCCCCGGTGGATCGTCTTCCCGTAATACATATGAGGAGCTCCCTTTCTCAATAGTATGTATGTATGTCTCCTGTAATACAC